ATACGTAGCGTAACTAGACTTTCCTGATACACATAGTTTGCCAAATAATTGAGAATAAAGTGTTAAGTGATAATAAATAGTTGTGTCAAGATTCATAAAATGCTTTGTGGTTGAGCATCACTTTCTACCGATATGGTTGCGTACGTGTAGCATATATGGCTACATGCAGTATAGCTTAAAAAAAAAAAAAAAAAAAAAAAAAAAAAAAAAAAAAAAAAGTCTTACGACTGTATATAAAGCTGACCCGCATCTCGTCCGCATGCGTGACTAAACTCCACGAAAAGTTCATCTTCTTTTTTTTTTAAATCGATCGTTTTTAGGAACATCGTTGGATTATCTCGACGCTTTGAATATAAAGCAGTCTTGGTTCCCAATGAGTCCTTGAAATTGTTGCCGAGTTCGCGGTTTGAATCCAAGATGCAGCTAAGAATGTGCAAAGCCAAGTTTTAAAATTTAGCTTCAGAAGTCTTTAAAGGTAGATTTATACAGTCATTATTCAAATTTATGGGAATCATTATTAATTTCATGTGAATAAGTAGCGAATGATATACGCTACTTTACAAACAATACAAAACAATAATATTATTAGATATTATTTTACAATAATTCTTTTAATAAAAATATTTTGACGATTAATAATAATATATTTATCATCGTTTCATCGCCAAATAAATAATTGAAAGAAAAAAATTTTTATTCATAGACCACTGGAGTTACTAACTAGAATTACTAGCGTACCATCAATATATTTAGATGCGAACTGAAAAATAGACAAGCAACACCATGATAGCTGATGAGTTTCTCGAATTACTTCAATTAAATAACAATAATAACAGTCACAATAATAACAACACCAGTATCACAAAGCTTGATTAAATTAATTGTTCGACAATATTTATAAGACATATATTTCAATGCGAAAAAAAAATGTCTCGATTCTGTGTATAAATAGTTTATACTATAAATTAGCTTTTTTTTTTTTATACATAATCATTCTTAATTTTAAGTGTAAAATATATCGCTAACTCTATTAATGATTTACAATATCAATTTTTTCATTATCAATTTTTATTAATTCGATTAAAGATTAATGATTAATGATAAGATTAGATGATAAGACAAAGACTTCCTTATTCCTCTATGGATTTGGTAAAAAATTATTTTAACCACGAATCGCGTCTTAACCCGCAAATATCGTTATAGTTAACTAATAGTTAAGTAATAATTCTTTCGCAAGTGCATGTTATTGAATTATTATATTTTTCTAGAACGCCAATATGCCTTGTAAGCTTATTATTATTAATAACATTTGAAATGCATATATTTATTTATAAATGTCTTATTTACAAGTCACTTTTTAGGAAAAATTTACGAGAATTTATCTCAATTTTCTATTTATACAAGATTAATAAGATATTCATTATTATATTATAATGACATTATATTAACGATTTATAAGAACATTATTTAACGAATATAAATTATATTGAACAAAATTCATCCATCATCATCATCATTATCATCATCATCATCGTCGTCGTCGTCGTCGTCGTCGTCGTCGTCGTCATCAGCACACTTTATAATTAATACAATAAATAGCTTAAAATTTATAGAAAATTCATTTTTGGCACGTACTGTGTGACAATATAATAATAGATCGTCTAAATAATGAGTTCATTTATCATGTAAATAGTGAGTTAAGAGATGAATTTATATTATTCGAGCCATTAACATATTATTTATTCAAATGTATATAAAAATTTTATATAATTTGTATATAAAAATAGCGATAAATTGCCAGAGACGAAATTTTTGTATGCAGAATGTTACCACGCAAACGAATGAATTGAAAGTGAATGTAGGAGGGATGGTTACATAAGTATTCACTTTAGAACGAATGTATAAGCCATTTTCCTACCATAAGTTTAGTCGGATAAACGTACTGTACTCTGCTCTCCCTCGACTCTACCTAAACCATAATTTTTGTTGAAATTAATATAATAGTAAAGAGGCGTTATGGGTATTTATTACGTAATTATACTGATAATTGCATAGTAGTTTGTGCATCTGCGCAGAGAAGGTAGTTAGTTACTTACGAGTTGGTAGTGCTAATCGATGTTGAATGTGCGGACATTGACGGTCTAAAGGAGAATTTTCAGCTAAGGAATTGGTTCGATCGAATAAAGAACCTGTATATATTTCTTAAAGAGGACGGGATTTCTAAAGGATGACGACCAGGCCAGTACGTAAATTTTTATTTACGTATCCGGACATTATCTTTCGTCATTGTCTACGGTGTCTAAATATGAGCTAATTTGGATAAATTAGATCTATGTGAGAGGAGTCAGTCAGTATGTAGTAAACGCATATGGTGCTTCAGTCAATGTATTGCGTAAAACTCTCCATCTTCCTATTTATCCATTTCAATTTATATTCCGACAATTCTCAAAGATTTATTCACAATGATCACCTGCTACTCATCTATCGTTATTATCATTGAATTTATAAATTTAATTAAGAAACAAAAGTTTACACACTGGCAGAAATATTTCATCATCGTAATGTTTTTTTTTTTTTTTTTTTTTTTTTTTTTTCTTTTTTTACTGGTTGTACGGCTCTTCCATATTATCAAAGTAAATGTTAAAATCTAAAATCAAATACTACTTTTACGAGCTTTTTAATAAAGTGATCGAGTAACTGGCGCAGCAACTGAATTTCTCGTAGCGATCAAGTGATCAAGATCGACAAATGGGTGTTTTTCTTTTACTTTATTTTTTTAAACGAAAATAGGTAGCTTTTGGTAGCCGCGACTTTTATTCAATTTCATATTGTACTTGGATGCATCGACGCAAACTAAATTGTCATTTTTAAATTTATAGTCATTATATCGATTGTCTATGCATTATTCTTTGAATTACGTGCAATTTGCAGTTAACAATTCAAGCAAAATTCTTTTCGTACTGCGTGATTATGTATTTTGTTTTTTGTTTTTCGTTTGAAACGTATTGTAGAACTTTTCAGAAATTGAAAGAATGAAGCAAACATTAACCTAAGTACGTGAGTTTCATTGTTAATTAAAATCTGTAGATTGGTTAAAAATTTACGGAAATCATAGTCAATTGTGCATACATTATTTCGTGTACCAGTCAACTTAAATGTTTAACTTATATACTGAATAACAATAGTAACGATAATAATAGTAGTGGTAATAATAATAGTCAAGCCAAACGGTAATTGATGACACGACAAATGAATGTTATTGATAATGGAAAATATTTTATCCCTTCAATCATGGAATATATAATAAATTATTAATGCGAATGGAGATAAAAATTCTTTAAATTTTTAGGATCTTGAAACGGCTTACATGCCAAGCTGTTGGAGCAAAAGATACGAATCCACAGAATTACTGGAAAAATATTTTAAATTGGCGGAAGATAGTAAGATCATGAATTTTAATCAGCAAATCTTGTAAAAAAAAAGAAATTAATCATCGTTGAATTTTATTGCAGCCACAAAAGAAGTTCGCAATTCAACCGAGCATGAACTGAATATTTCCTACGGATCTTCCGAGCGAACAAAATATGATATTTACGGAACCAATCTTCCAAAAAGTAATATAATGACAATTTTCTAAACACTAATAAATATATTGATTATTTAATTAATTAGCTCGACATTTGAAAGATATATTTAATCATTAACAGATGCTCCAATCTTTTTATTTATTCATGGGGGATATTGGAAAGAATTTTCAAAGGATTTGTCAGGACTCGTTGTACCCAATTTAATTGCTCACGGAATTAAGGTTGTAGTTGGCGGTTACGACTTGTGTCCCAATGGTAAGTAAGATATCGTTTATTACATTTAATTGGATCGACGTAGGCTTTTAATAGAAAACATAATTCATTATTAATTAATTATTCAGAGCACGTATCAAGAATCTGCTGTATTTACATAATAGATTACGCAATCAAAATTTTAATGCACGATTCCCGTTATTAAATGACGATTATTTAAGTTAAATGTTCGAAAATCTTAGATGAAAATTCTAAATTTATTTTAATACTACATCTTTTCATAATCTTTTAATTTTAAATTAACATAACCATCACATTTTTCTAATACTCAATTAAATATGTTGGATAAGATTACTTTCACTAGTCTTATTCAAATAAAAAAATCAAAAATTCTTTGTTGCTTCAATGACTTATCGACGGTAATAATGCCTAGCGATTCAACAAGTTTTCATAAAATCTGAAAACAGAACCAAATTTCTAAATGTTCTAAAACTTAATAACGATATCACGAGCAAATAAAAATCATTATGTGAAATTGCTAATTGAATAAAATAATTAACGAATATTCCCATAGCTTGGTCATATTAAATTAATAATAATAATAATAATAATAATAATAAAAAAATGAATATTTGTTTATATTTTTGCTTTTTAAGATTTTCAGAAATTAGCTTCTTCGATAACTGGCAAATGTACAATATTATAAATCTACATTTATACCTATGAAGTTATTAAAAAATTTTTTTTAATATATATTAAATATTTTCCTATCGTACAGTTTTGCTTAATAACGTATCTTGATTTGAATAAATATTTGAACTTATATTTTTTTTTTTTTTTTTTTTTTTTTTTTTTTTTTTAAACAATATCGTATGAATAATTCTAAAAACTTAATGAAGTAATGTGGTAATACTTATTTAAAAATTGTCGATCATAAATAGATTAGTATTTATAAGAAATGAAATATGCTACATACATACATACGTACATATATATATATTTTTTAGTATAAATGATGAATGATTTTCTTATTAAATATTGTATTAAATCAGTGTGTACGAGGTCTATTAATTTATTAAAAAAAACGTTTTCTTAATATTTTCCATTTATTTTCAAAGCTCTACCATACTGCATTCTAAGGCTACTGTACTACTTTTCTTTTTTTAATTCTAGTTCGGCTGACAGAAATAATTAATCAAATAAAGCTGCTTACTGAAAAAATTTTGACTATGGCACGTCTTTCGGGATCCCAGTAAGTGAAGAATAATTGTCTCATTAATCTGATAAATACTACAGCTTCGTTTATTATATACATTAAAATACAAGGTTATCCTTTACTTTCATGTATTATTTTCATTTTTTTTTAAGTGCAACAGAAGGAATTATATTATCAAATTTCACTTTCTAATAACATTTATAGATATATAATGGCACCGAACCCAAGTAGCATCAAGCAAAAAGATTTTAATAATCTAAATTGATTATATTAGTAAGGGAAACATAAAATTATGAAGTTTAATTACAGCTTAACATCACGCGATAATCAATGCATAATACGTGGCGCATAAATTCATTTTCACGCAATTGTCAAACGAATATTTTCATTATTTTTCACATGACGAGATAACATTTAGGACTTACGGCTAATTAAAAAAAGAAGAAAAAAAAGTGTCTTAAGTCAACAAATCTACATCAATATAAAATAATGGAGATTTTATCGATTCGGCCTACCACAGAACAGAGCATTTTTTTTTTGTTTTTTGTTTTTTTTGTTATCATATACACGTGGCTTCGTTTACCCAGGGAAAAAAAAAAAAAAAAAAAAAAAAAAAAAAAAAAAAAAAAAAAAAACAACCCTATCGCATAATCTCCGATATTTTGTATCATAATTCATTATCATCCCCTTTATTTTTCTATCTTTCGTCTTCGTCGTCATCGCGAAATCACTTTTTAAATCTCACAATAGACACTTTTAATACAATACAGGTGCGTATGGATTGGCGGTCACAGTGCCGGAGCTCATCTCGCAGCGGCTCTCATTCACGATCAGAATTGGCTCGATCTTATTGCGAGCCACGGTCTTCTAACTTTACTCAAGGGACTCGTCCTTATCGGCGGCATTTATGCGATTGAGCCGCTGTTGGGGACGAGCCTCAAGGATTGCCTCAACTTAAGCCCGTAAGATCAATAATTGTTGCCTAGGATTTCAAGCTCATACTGTATTTTATCGGCATTTTATACAAAATTACAAAATGTCTTTATAGCTATCGGTACAACTCGTTTTATCCAACTAATAAGTACAACTTATTTTTATTTTCACATCTTTGGATTCTCGTTTGCTCCTAACAAATACTCATCTATGCCATTAATCTCACTTTTTTATTTAAGTTATTTTAATACACAGAACATCGTAATATCTATTGTATATTTATAAAACATAAGAATAGTTTGTTTTTGTCTTTTATAATACAGCAAAATCTTTTAATCTTAAACTGATCTATAAATTATATGAAAAGTAAGCCTTTTAAATTATACGTCTTTTTTTTTTCTTCTTTTGTTTTTGTTTGGTTTTTTTTTTTTTTTTTTTTTTGTTTTTTTGTTTTTTTTTTTTGTCGTTGTTGTTGTAATTGTTATTACCGTAAACTATTAGTTTATAATTCATAATAATTTTATCATTAACTTTAATCATTAACAGATTCATTAACAAAGTTGTGTCTTTTATTAATTTTGAAAGTAGTTCGGTTTAACATTGGAATCAACATTACATTATATATGCTATCGAATAAATTATCTCAATAAACAATTTCATTGTTGCGAATAATAACAATTCTTTTTAGCGATGAAATAAAATCCTATACATTTGCACCTTTCAACGAATCGGATGTTACAGAGGACAATTTCATAGCATTGCGTGATCTCAAGGTTATTGTAACGGTTGGAGAATGCGATTCGCCTATTTTTATCGAGGAATCGCGTCGGTATTCAAGAGTAAGTAACTCGCTTTACGCACTTCGTACCACTTTTCTTTTATTAAAAAGCGATAATCGATCAATTGACTTTTTTTTCCTTTTCTTTCTATTCTAGAGACTGATAAAATTGGTTGACAATGTTGAGTTCCTTTTCCTTAGAGGCATCGATCACTTCGATATAATCGAAAATTTAACCAATAAGGAATATCATTTATCGAAAGTATTAATAAAAAATCTAACCACCCGTAATTAATACAATCAGACGATTATAATGTATCGTATAATGACATTTTAATACATTACTATTATTATTATTATTATTACTATGCACACTTAAATATACTTTTAAAAATACACATTACACATGTTAAAAATTCACAGTTTTTATTTTCACAAGATCTCTTTATACTCTTTCTACTTCCTTTTGAACGAAAGTCATGTTGAGAAGCTGCGGATTATTCAAGTATTATTCTCTTGTAGCCTAACAGTTAGACATGGACTGATAACAGTATTACTCGATAACGTATTGGGTACATGATTCAGATTATTGTCTGGATTCACATTACTTAAAAGTATATTTGTTTTCGGGACGTAAGTCATTGCCTGTCCGATTTTTGGATTAACGACGCAAACATTTTTCAGCGTGGCAATTTTAGGCCCCTTAACGTCATTCTGGTGAAAGGGAATTTTATAATTGCTTATGATATTTTTTAATAAAACCGCATTATTCACTGGCATACGACGATTGTTGATGGCCAAAGGATTACTCACTATCGCACTTGTCGAGGGCAGTCGATAATTTTGTTCGCTAGTTAAATCTATGAATCCCGGCGTTGGCAAGTCCGCGATTCTTTGCTGCTTAGGCAATGATAAATTTTGCTCGACTTTCTCGGGAGACGAAGAGTCTTTCCAAGAATCGGGTGGCTTTGCGAACGAACGCACTTTAATCGCGTATCGAAATTCCTGGCCAATCCACTTCTTTTTCTTATTAACATCCACATTCTCTTCAGGTGCTTTAGATTCTGAAAAACAAATGTTATTATGTACTTTTATATGCTTAATAAACTAAATTAGAAACATTAATTTTTACAATAATTATTTATGTATACAACACAAAATAAAATAACATTAATAAATGTAAGTATTATGTAAGTATTATGTAAACGACAACTCTTGTTAAAAATAACAATACGTTGAAATATTTTTAGTTGTAACACGTGTTGTTGCATATTAAATTTGAGCTTTTTTTTTCTCTTTTTTCTTATTTTTTTTTTTTTTTAACGAATTCGTACAATTTGTTAAAATTTCGTTCGCCCGGTAAAAACGTTCATTTAACAGATTGTTATTCGATTAATTTATCGAACAATTTATATACGTACGAAACTTCTTAATATTTTAAAGGTAAAATTTTAAATACTTGGATGCATTAATAAATCATCGAGCGTAATAAGTAAATTCAATTTTATATAAATAAAAATGTAGTTGCTTAATACGGTCGACATTAAAATACAAAAGATTAAATACAAAAAAAAGCACAGCTCAATTTAATGTCATAATAAATATTAATATAATAATAAAAATAAGTTAAAAAATTATAAGATGTTAAAATATTTGCAAAAATCTTAAAAACTAAATAATTGGAGAAATGGCAAAATAAAGGTATAGTATGTGCTATTTTAAGATTATAAAATAAAAATGTAAATGATATATTATCATATAAATAAGAATAAAAGGGGAATTAATATTTTTATGATTTTCAAGCTCTTATTAAATTGAATTAAAAAGATAAAAATATTTATTCATAATCTTCTATAAAAACTGTAATCCTGTATAATCCCTTATGTTGGTAATATAATGTTTTTACATGACATTTTGGAAAATATTATTTAAGAAAATAGTGTCATGTCATTGGAAATTGTTATGCGATAAATTACAAATTGCACGTTTAATCATTTTATTGCTAAATAAATACACTCTTCCATCATACTCATTAAGAATGAAAATTCTATTGACAACTTTCAAAACATTTAATTTTGTTACAAAACAGCAATTATGCAAAGATCACTGTTTCAATGTTTGCAAATTATGAAAAGCTCGTAAATAAAAATTCCTAAAACTTGCCCAAGATAATTGAATTTAATAAGTAAATAACGTTGTAATTTCCAATATTCACGAGTGAAAAATGGCAAATTATATAAAGTAGTTCTTAAAATTAAAATTAAGATTTAAGAAAGACAATTTTAATATTTTTAAAGTGTCATCGCGGCTTTTCTTCTTAATCCTGATAGCGTTGGAAAATTTTTTCTTTTTCTTTCCTATTACATTTGATATTTTTCTACAAAAAACAACTCTCTTTTCACAGTATTTTCGATTTTTTTTATTCTCATTTTATCTTACGATATATTATTATTATTGTTGTTGTTGTTGTTGTTGTTGTTGTTATTATTATTATTGTTGTTATTATTAATATTACAGTATTTGTCGTTAAAAATATAATGCAATATCATTTTTCGCAAACGATAAAAAAAAAAAAAAAAAAAAAAAAAAAAAAAAAAAAAACAGACGTAATACAGGTCTATTACTAATTAATGAGAATGTAAAGTCGAAATTTATTATTATTAGAAGCGATTTTCTCAACAGAGCTACTTTTACACGCCTCTACACTTCATTATATAACTTGTCTATATATTATAATCGCGAGCTTAAAATCGAATAATTAATTTATTATCTGCCGATAATTGATTATTGATTGATTATTGATTGATAATGCTTGAAGGGACAAGAATTAAATTATTTTAATGCGAGTAGAATTTATTTTCAATAATAAATGTTAATACCTGCAGCCTCTCCGCTGGAAGTTTGTTGATTTTTCTTAATTGTTTCCGTTATCTCTGCGGAATCATTATATTGTACGATTTGATTGTCTAATGTCGATATATTTTTAGTTTTTAATATTTGTGAAATTTTTTGAATGTCTGGCGTCGATAAATCTGTATTTGTACTTTCATTTTCCAAGTTATTATTTGTAATGTTAGTCTTTTCAATCACATCAGCATTGTAATTCTTTTTATTATTTAAAATCTTTTCATCTTCGTCGCTTAAAATTTCAATTATTTTGTCTGGCTCCACTAAAGACGGATTGGTATTATTTTTTGAAATATTATTCATAGCGCACGTTGAATTGGAAACAATAGACTGAATTACAGGTTCTTTGCTCGTTTCACTTGTTAAGAGCTCTGTTTTTTCACAAATGACATTACTATTTGCATTGTGAATATTTTTTTGATTTTGTCTTTTGTGATTAATTTTATTATTTGCATTTTGTAATTTTGTACTATCTTTCTGCTTATTTTCTACGTGTAGTTGATTTTCTTTCTCCGAGCTCAATTTTTCTCCAAATTCTTCATTTACATTAGATGAATTTACTTGCTTCGTTTTATCTTCTTGCTTATTATTTATGTATATTTCTTCTTCTTCTTCTTCTTTTTCTTCTTCTTCTTCTTCTTCTTCTTCTTCGCAAGCTTTATTCAAATTAGCATTTTCTAAAGTTTGTTGATTTTCATCTCCTAAAAGTAATCGCTCATTATCTTCGGAGTTTTTCAAAATCTTTTCTAACCTTCCCTCCACTCGATCCTCTTTTTCTGCTAATTTTTCATTCTCAGCCGGTAAATTTGTTTCCTTTGTTTCCTCCTTTTCATCATCATTTGTACATTTTTCATTTTGTTGATGTATTCTGTCGAAATCGATGTTTTTCAAAGTTTCATGTATTCTATCTACTGGAGATAATTGCTCAATCTCCTCAGAATTTTTAAAACTATTTTCCAAATTTTTTTCCACCAATTTTCTTGGCGATATTTCAATTTGAGCGAATGTAATTATTCGCTTCGTCTTATCTGTTTGCTTATCATTTGTCTTTCTATCATTTTGTTGACTTTTATCTTCAAAATTAGAGCTCTCCAAATTTTCTTCTTTTTCCTCAGAACTTTTAAATATCTTTTCTACATTCTTTTCCGTTAAGTTCACGTTACTCTCAGTTTTTTCATTTTCATCTAATGTATTAATTTTCTTCGTTTTATCCATTTGTTTATCATTTTCATATTGTTCATTACTTTTATCCTCATCCTCTGAGCAAGTATTTCCTAATGTTTGTTGATCTTCCTCGCTTGCTGTTAATTCTTCTTTCTTCTCGTATTGTTTAAAAATATTTTCTAATTTTCTGTCACCTTTTTCTTTATTCTGTTGTAATTTTGTATGTAATTCATCATTTGTTATTGCCGGATCTCCTTTGCTCTCCCCATAAAATGATAAGTAATTCTGACTCTCACATATCCTCTGTTTTTTCAAGTAATGCACAAGCGACTGATGAGCTGTCAGTGCTAAAAACAATAAACATTTATAGTGACGAAATTTCAATATCCTTATTCGATTTATTTAAAATAAAATGATTTTACTTGACCATTATTATGCGCGCATTAAAAATCTATGCATTGATAAAAAAAATTGTAAAAATATTTGTCAAACGTCTAATGTTCAAAATTCAATATTTATCTTACAATGTTGATAATTTTATTATATTTACATTTATATTCAATTGTACTTACCTAACATTTTTATTTTCCTATCTGTCAATTCAAGGTCCTCCTGATTATTGCAATCGGAAATGCATTGTATTATATCATGATAATCAGGTACTGTGAGAAAATCAGCAATTGCGGTTGGATTTTTAATATGTTTCAATCTGTTGACTTTCTTTATACTAGAATTAATAAAAGTAAGAATTGCTTCATCTAGTACTCTTATACCAGTAATTTTACCAGGAATATCTTTAAGTCTCAACAGTTGTTTATAAATTTGCTTCTTGACACTTTTATCTCCAATTAATTTGCTACGCAATGCACACAATTCTATTAATTTCCTTTTATATCTGTCCTCTTGTATATATGTAGAATCTTCTTCGTCGTCAAAGTCAACCTCTTGCGTTTCTAATATTTTAATTCTCTGTTGGCACTTTCTGATAGCTTTATTTAATTTTTTAAGCTTATGCAGATCATTTTTTGACAGTGCATGATTTTCCAAAGGTATATAATTTTCTGATAGCGTGTGATTTTCTTGCTCTAATACTATATTTTCATTTATTTCAACTTTATCAAGTTTGTTGTTTTCAGTATTTGCATATTTCTCATCGATTTGAACTATCTTTGACTCACAATTAAGTCTCTTTATTTCGTTACTAACTTCTTCAATGTAAAAATAAAATTTTTTCTCGTCAGTCTTTAATATATTTTGTATTATGTCTTCAATAAAAGATTTCAATTCCTCATTATTTAGACAAATGGGTTCTAATTTTTCGTAACGTTTTCTCAACTTATCTAAAATTTTAATAGTAATATCATCATTTCTTTTTTCCAAGCAAATATTAATAAACCTTGTAAATACATCAATTTCTGGTTCTGGAATAGCTATTTTTTCTTTGATAACTAATTTTGGTTTTATACATTTTTTAATTTGACAAGATTCTTGCGATGTACTAGGTTGAGATAAAGATTTATTTAATTCTTTAACAATTTCAGTTTCCATTAATAATTTACTTTTCCTAAGATTATGTTCTGCGGGTGTTTTAGCTTGTGGCGAAGAACAAGAAGAACTTAGATTATTACTTACAGCATTTGTTCTTAAGCCATTAGCAGCGGTGAATTGCGTGTCGTTAAGAAAATCTTTGCTTACTCTATTTGAACAAAATTCATTAGAATTTTTAATATCAATAACTTTCTTTCTATTTTTGCTAATTTTAGATTTTTTAGGAGTATTTTCTTTTTGTAATTGCGGCGATAGTGGTAATTTTCTTTTTTGTGTAGAATTAATTTTTCTCTTTTGCTTAACATTTGCATCAATATTTATTGTACTCTAGAAATAAATTAAATGTCGTTAATACATGCTTTAAAATATTTATAAAAATAGTTAAATTATTGTTCTTAGTTAATTATGCGTATACATTAAAAAGATTAATAAACAATTAATAATATATAAAATTGTATAAAATAAGATATTATTTTCAAATATTTTAGTATAATATGGATTAATTCTATACCAATCGGTAAGCAAACGGTAAATACAAAATTTAAATATAATTATGATCTTCGTTGAGCGTAGTATATTAACTTTTTAACTCAGCTCTCTAAATAACAAATTTACAACTTATTAGAATATTATGTTATAATTCTTTTCGAATAAAAATTAAATTTATATATATATATATATATATATATATATATATAATATTTGATACCAAGAATTTATACATATACGTATACATATACGTACATTTAAATATTTTATATTTTTTGTAAAAATTAATTTTACTACTGCTTGAATTATTGTAAGTTATTGATAAACAAGGAATGAACAAAACGTATAATCAATACATTTATATTGTATATTAGTGTATTAAAATAATAAAAATTAGTAGAAGATACGATAGTCTAGATAAAAATCTATACAATTTCATTTAATTTTTGGATAAAAACAAAATTTAAACTATCATAATATCGCCATAATAATAATATGATACTCTTTTAAGAAAAATTAATAATAGAAATTTTGTAAAATATGTCGAATATTATAAAGAAAATAAAATAATAATTAGTTGTTAGTGTATAAATACATTCATTTTTCATTAAATATGACAACAATTACAGATTAACATAAGACAATAAAATGTTTTTTAACCTTTTTCAATATCTCCTCTTCACTATCCGAAGAAATACAAATAATATAATTCATATCTGAATAATTAAAATCACCATCACTAGATTCTTACTACTTAACGTTCGAACATTTTTACAACTCTTTAAATATTTATTTAAAAATCATGTTTTTGATCTTAATAACAATGCAATGTAAAAGTACTACGACGCATGTGAGGTATGACGTTTCCACATTTGAACACAAAAAAAAAGTGTAATAATTTATTGGCGATCCTTATTTATATCTATGATTTTGAAAAACATTTCAATGTTAAATATCAATATAATATTATAAGGCTTAAAATTAGCAATTATATACTCTTGTTCGCACAATCCTTAATTGAAATTATCTATTTACCAAAATTTACCAAAATGGTAAAAGTCATTTAGACTTGGGAAACGGAATTGGAACGGGAATACGAATAAGAATTCCACATATATCAATGGTACAGAAAATTTCGGGTAGTAGAGTATTTATTATTTGTTGCCAACAAATAACAATTGGATCGCATCAATATCGCAATTATTTTTGTACAATTAAATTACTCGATTAGGACTTATGAATTACCTACACTTATTTATTTATTTTTTTTTTTGTCTTTTCTTTTCTTTTTTTATTTTTTGTTTTTTTTTTTTTTTATAATAGGAATAAAGATTAAAATTTTATTACCGTCTAATACCACGATTTCACCTCCGAAGAATAAATATGTTTGGTATTTTCGCTTTATAGCATTTTACAGCTAATAAAATAATTTTCCATTGAATTGTATTGAATTTTAAAACGAAATAATGAAATAAAGCTCAATAAGCGTGGGAGATTGGATTCTTTATCTACGCACTCGTTCGCTTATTAATAAGGTTTAATAAATGGCTGTTAAGGACGTTTGGCTAGGGAAAATAGCAAGAAATTTGGAAAATACGATGCTTGCTTAATCAGTTGAGACGGCAAAAGGTAAAAGATCAAGCTTTAGGATCAGTTTACGAGTATCTAACGTTGTTTTTGTTTCTCTTGCCTAGGCTGAAAGCATAAAAGCACCGTTACGCATACTCGATAAATTTAGAATATTAAACAACGCATACATAAACAAACGCACGCAAGCGCACACGCATATATATATATATATATATATATATATATATATATATAGATTAATTTATGTGGTCAGAATTTTATTTTTGTTGTTTTTACTCTTTTCGAAATGTTGAAAGCCTACATAATTATAATTTTAATCATTCGATCGTTAAGATTTGATTATACAAATGCGCATAATCTCTACGTAAACTTGTAATATAATTCGATAAATCATTCAAATGCTATAATTTTCCGAAGGTTTGCAAATTTGAATATGAGCTTGAGAAACTATGTAAACGCGTGTGAATAAACGACACCGAATGAAGGTTTCGGTTTATATTTATAAATTTTCACTTGTGACCGATTTCATCATTACACTTACTACAGTTTTATCAAATCTTTATATTAAATTAAAATTATAATTAGCTATGATTAATTAAGATTTTGATCATTTTTTTTTTTTTTTTTTTTTTTTTTTTTTTTCTGTTTCAAATTAACGTGGATTGTTTTTTATTCTTTCTTTTTTTTAATCCGTCCGCAGCGACTTTTTGTTCTTCTTGAAATCTTTAGATGACCGCGTTTAATAAATAATAGAAAATCCGTTAAATCGAGGATAACACGAAACACGAAATGTCTCTTAAATAGCAGCAACCGTTATTTTAACGCTTAAATTTCTTTCTCTTCTTTCGTCCTTTTATTATTAAATTCTCTGTATTCATTATTGGAGCGAGTTAATTTATTAAATCGATGCACTCGATTTTGGAATCATCTTTTTATACTTGGACGGTCGTCGTAATATCTTTTAAAATTTTGAGTGCATAATTTTCTCGGTGCTTGCACTCGTCACAGCACCTCCTGTCTACGTCACTTAATTATACTCGTGGAACACGGATTTTTAAGCCCGCCTTATGTCAAAATAATTTAAAACTTTACGAGAGGTTTATAACTTTATATCCATTAAAGATTTCAAATGCCGTATTATGTGAATAATGTAGCTTACATTTGTTGTAAGATTTATCCAAAAAGTATCATAAATTTTACGACTGACGGATTATTGCCAAATAAGCATAGTACCCATACGATAAATGTAAAAATGATTTTGTATGTAATATATATATATATATATATATATATGTTGACATGCGGCTATATTGTTTAATAAAACTTTGCATTAGAAATAACTGTATATCGGTTGATTTGTTGATACTCGAATACCTAAATATTTGCAATAAAATGATAATGTGATTAAGAAAAAAAATAATGTTAATCTAATATTTGCTTTATTGAAACAATTTCACATCTCTAGTACAATAATGATAGCCCATGTTTAAAATTAATTAAAACATCATTAATTTTTTAGTCTTCTAAAAAATAACAATAATAGCCATATACACTTCTATATTATTTAATTACATATTAAAAAAAAAATATATATATATATATATATATATATAATATATTCGAGTTCAACAAGTAAATTTATAAAAATTTATAAAAATATTCCATCGGCATAATAAATGTCTAATAAAATTGAAAACTGTAAATTTTCTCTTATATTAAACTGTACTTTTATGTAATTTTTTACTTACATACAATAATATAAAATTGCTAATTTTATAATATGCAAAAGCAATTTTTACTTAATTTAATTAATTTTTCCTTCCATTATAGTTGTATATTAAACGAACAAACGATTTTCAGGAATTAAATTTATAAAAAAAACAAACTATTACAAATGAAACTGATGATAATTTTTCGTGTCATTGTAACGTCACTCGATGGCTCGATGTTGCAAGTCGATGTTGCATCACATTATTTTAAAAGTATCTCGAGTGCTTGGTTATTATTTGTTGCCGACCTCCGTGTTGAGAATAAATAACTACCTAATCCTCGGCTTAAGGAGCTGACAAAAAAACGTAAGTTATAGGGGATTAGCATCCTCCTCGCCTCTCCTCCTCCCCCCTCCCCCCTCCTCCCCCCCCCTCCCCCCCTCCCCCCACCATAAAAAATACATTTACTCGAAATTATTTGAGTGAATTTCACGTTTTTCAAACTTATAATCCATTTGATCAAAAATGTTAATAACTAATGAGTAAATTGTATTGAAAGTCTATTATGCAATTAAGTATTTTTGTAATATTTTCAATTAATTTATGGAAAATTTTACAATTTCTCTGAGAATTTATTTTATCATTAGCCATACATCTATGTTAATCGATCCAATTCATGGAATATAATACCGCGTTGTGGTTAATGTAGCATTAGTCGAGTCAGTCGGACAATATAAAATATTTAAAAGTTGTTTTGAATATTTTACCATGGCTGAAATAGGTAATTTCTATTTGTTTATTATATTGATGATGTGCGTATTAATTATTGTTAAAGACACTTTGTTTTGAAATAGTTATTACGGCTTGTTGGAACTATGCGGTAAACACGTGGTTTCTGCGTCTTACCGATTGCAATAATTTAATGGAAAGATGTAAAAATTTCGTGTTTAATGTAAATATAATGTTCGGGCTTTAGTTCACAATTATTAAAAAATGATTATCGAAGCTAATCAAAACCATATCGTAAAGTTTGTTTGAATTCTTTGAGGTTAGGAATTTGTATTATTTTCATTAAATTTTCAGAGAAAGAGAAGCACAAGAATAAAAATAAATCTGTCGGAGAGATTCAAATTAAAATGAAATGCCAAATGGAACCGTCTAGTGAGATTGCTAAGCTCGAGTGTAAAGATTGGCCATTACTGTTTAAGGTATTTATTGAAAAATATCACACATAAATAAATTTTTCACCACCAATCACTACGATTAACAAATGAATTATTTTAGAATTTTGATAAAATGTTAACAAGAACAAAACACTTTACGCCATTAACGTGTGGTTCCACCCCTTTACATCGAACATTATCAGAATACGTTCAGTCGGGCTGTATAAATCTTGATAAACCATCTAATCCATCGTCGCACGAAGTTGTTGCGTGGATCAAAAGAATTTTGAAAGTTCAAAAGACAGGTCATTCTGGTACTTTAGATCCTAAAGTATCGGGCTGCTTAATCGTTTGTATAGACAGAGCAACGCGTTTAGCAAAGTCTCAACAATCAGCTGGTAAAGAATACATAGCAGTCTTTAAACTTCATTCCGCTGTTGATAATATAAAAAAGGTACAATATTGTGATAATAAGCGGACGACAATTATTGAAATATTGTTTACGAAATAATGTTTTTCAGATACATCAAGCACTTGAGAAATTGAAAGGCGCCTTGTTTCAAAGGCCTCCTTTAATATCGGCAGTTAAGCGTCAGTTAAGAGTAAGAACGGTCTATGACAGTTGGTTTCTAGATTACGACGAAGAGCGAAATATGGGTGTCTTTAGAGTGAGCTGCGAGGCTGGTTCGTATATCAGAACCATTTGCGTGCATCTTGGACTATTCCTTGGAACTGGTTGTCAGATGCAGGAGCTACGCAGAAATCGATCCGGTATCATGTCTGAAAAAGATGGTTTAGTCACTATGCATGATATTCTCGATGCCCAATGGCTTTACGAAAATCATGGCGACGAGACTTACTTAAGACGAGTTATTAGACCACTAGAATCTCTTCTGGTTAATCACAAACGAATTATTGTAAAAGATAGCGCCGTAAGTATTCTATGTCTCTTCTTTACTGCACCGTTGATTTGAAATCATTTCCTTTATCGAAGTCACTCAATTATATGGTTATATCTTTTTTGAGCCGTGCTTTAATATTTTTTTATTATCACTTTTATAAATACTTGAAAGTTCTAAAGTAGTAAAAGAATATTTGCTTATGATTTAGTACGACACTGTACCTATCGTTGCTCCAAAATATTTCTAATGGTAAATACCTGTATTTAGGTAAATGCTATATGTTATGGAGCTAAAATAATGCTGCCTGGTGTATTGATGTATGACGAAGGTATTGAATTAAATCAAGAAATTGTAATTGTCACCACTAAGGGAGAAGCTGTTGCACTTGGTAAATATTATAAAAAATTCTGTGAGCTCGCCAAAGTCAAAATATATTTGCAGTTAATTAAGTATTATAAGAAAAGTAATGAAAATCGAATGCACCAATTTGTCAAAATTGAAAATGGCTTGATTAACCATTTGTTTCATACTTGTCAACTTGAAAAGCAAATACAAATTTGTTAAATTTCCTCTTTATTAGTATAAAATTGTTGTGAAAACTTGAAATATGATATTCGATGGAGATGCGGGTGTAATTTATATAATATATAATTATCAATCGTAAATCCTACAAGTTAATGAATAAGAGTCTGATCTCATAAATGTTTATTTTCTGTAATAAATTTGAAATTTAAATTGTAAATAATTTGAAAAAATTTTGTATGAGAGTCTCAGTTCGATCGTGTAAGTGAAAAATCAGATTATTAGCATAAAAATACGAGGATACCAATAAGATATTGAATTTTGTTACAGCGATTGCATTGATGACGACACCAACGATGTCAGCTTGTGATCATGGCGTAGTTGCCAAAATTAAGAGAGTTATTATGGAAAGAGATGCTTATCCAAGGAAATGGGGTCTTGGTCCAAAAGCGTCCTTGAAAAAGCGTCTTATCGTAGAGGGTAAACTTGATAAGCACGGAAAGCCAAACGAGAATACCCCGACAGATTGGTTATCCAGCTATACAGATTATGCTTCTGTTAAGGTAATGATTTGTTTAAATTATTGGATCAATTTTATCTTAACTAGAGAGTAAAAAAATTATACCTCAACAGACCGAAGACAATGGCGTGAAGGAGTCGAGCAACAAAGAGGACGGAATTTCTGCTAAGAAACGGAAACACGAAGAAACCATAGTGGAGCCGCCAGTTGAAGAGTTGTCAATAATCGAAGCCGAGGATACGGAAACCTTATCTCCAAAAGAGAAGAAAAAAGAAAAGAAAGAGAAGAAAAAGAAAAAGGATAAGAAGAAAGATAAGTCTGATACAGAAGCCGAGGTAACGCTGCCCGTCGAGAACGTAACCGAAGTATGTGATTTGAGAATTAACCATCATAACATACAATTTAATAAGTAAGAAATTAAATAATAACACACATTGCTTTTTTCTTTCCTTTTTTTTTTTTTTTTTTCCCTTTATTTAGGAGCAATATGTTAAAGAGAAGAAAAAGAAGAAAAAGAAGAGCAAAGAACACGTGCTTGAGGAATAGAGACGAGTAGGAATCTTTTACTCGATTGAAAAGTGTGTGAATAATCGTGGGCACGCATATACCATGAAACTGGAACGAGTTGGTTTTTAAAATCAAACAACACTTACCCAACTCGTTACAAATGCAGGGCAATGCATTCGTCCAAATTTATGCAAAGTGTAATGTAAGGAATTTGGCTTTACCATTGAGTATTGCCAATGTTTAAGTTCCATAATAATAATGTTCATTGGTAATAGCCAATGAACATTTAAGCTGTACATAAATACATGTAATAGAATATTTTTACAATCATCAAAGCATTGAACAATGAATATTATGTATTTCTTGAAAAATAATTCTATTCATAAAAAAGGCCGTCACAATAATTTTTTTATAAGAGAAATATTTTGTCTATTGTAATTACAAATATGACGCATTTGTTTTATTCGTTGAAAAATCTTTTTTTTATATAAATGTAAAGTTTATAAATTATCGTGTGTACACATCAGTTAAGATTGAGATCAATGATGATTACGATAATTAACATACGATGGCAGACTGTTTTACTTTTGTAAAGATAACTTACTATTTTCATTAAAAATTCAAAAATATACTTTATATATTATTTGCTTTACTCATTTGGAATATGCCAATTAATCGAATGGTTTATTATTATGAAAGAATCGATGGACTTGAGTATTAAAAAAATTTATATTTTTCATTAAATTCATAATGCAAATTAAGCCAGGTAGTTATTTAAAAACAACGGTATCGAGCATAGCTCCCAAGCACTGGACAATATTTGTTGTCATAAGATTATCAACCTTTTCCTCCAAGTGTCGTTTGGGATCCTGTTTGCCAACATTTTTAATTGCTAACTGTTCGGGTGTCATTTTCTCCTCATCCTCGAGAGCCTAAAACAAATGCAATTTTCACGTTTTTTACAGATGAAAGATTTCTTAAGCATTTTAAAAATTCACGATAATACAGTATGGGCCAATGAGAAATCGACGTTTACCTTATTATAATTTTTAGCTAATTCTAGCATTTCTTGTACAACATTTTCATTAAGTTTACTGTGCTCTGAATACTCTGCCAGAGTCAAGCCATCCATCCATGTTTTCTTGTGTAAATTCAATAGCATTTTCTGTTCGAGTTCGTTCTTACGGTAATTGATACTTATGCTGTAATAATGTCGATTCAGTCCATGAATAAGTGCCTGCACGGATGGCTTTTGAAGATGACCTAAATTGGAGGTCGTTTGACGTGGCTCTTGTCCAAGAACCTATGAAAATTATGATAATACAATTAGAAGAAAAAAATTTCAACGTCCAACAAAAGAGTCGGTCAGTGCGATGCAGTCATTTTCAACGTCGACAAATTAATCATGATAAACACCGATATTCGTCGCCAAAATTGTACAACATAGCATTAAATTTGGCTATTAATGTCACGTTTTGTCGCTCTCAATCGATCCTCTATTTATTAAGCCACATTGACCCAAATACTAAGTCTAAAATACTTGGCTTAAGTAGGTAGGATTCGATTTAATTTTATTCACTCAAATCAACCATTTCAATATAAGACTTTAGCACTTTCATTTTTCTCTGCGTTGCTTTAACTATTAATTCAATTTGTTCTATTATGCCCAAATCACTGCACCAAAGCAATTTTACATTTACTTACCATCATATTGGGATTAATTAACCTAAATGCGTCGATAACAACTTTCCCTTTAACCGACTGGATAGGATCGATCACAACGGCAACAGCTCTTTCGCTGAGAGCTTCGAACGACTGTTGCGTATTTATGTCCACCCCGGACAGCCAACAGCCAAATCCTGGATGAGAGTGATACCAACCTACCACCATTTCTGGCCTACCCGTTTGCTTGAGCATATCCAACATTTTTGCTTGAAATACTGGATCCACCGCCTCCACGCTTACCCCCTATAACAGTACAAATAAACGAGAGTTTTAAAGCTGTCGATGAGGTAAAATTCAGGAGTCTTTCAACCGATGAAAGGACAAAGACTTACAGTTCCAGTCTGTGGCATGGCGAAGACATCGATAACCCGGACTGTGTAATCGTCCACGAATTCGCCAAGCATAAGGCCCATCACTTCCATCGGCACTCCAGCTCGTCCATGCTTTAGCATTTTCAGCAATGCCAATGATGAAATGTAAACCTTCGGCGAAACAAGCATCACGAAATTATTATCAAATTAATCGCCGGACCTCCTCAACTTCATTTGATCTCCGATCAAACACAATAATACCTGCTCGGCAGTATCTACAGCTGGAGCATCCGAGGGTGGAGGACCCTGATTCAATCCCGGCATACCACCTCCTATCCGCAACAATCGGTCCATCTTCCCTCACACTCGGTTACGCCCTAAAACCAAGCTCACTCGACCAAAACGAGAATAAAGAAAATTAAAGCTTCTGTCGCTTCACTAGTGCTACTATCTTGCTCAGGGCAAATAATTCATCTAATTTTAAGGTTATGGCACTTGCACTCGCGACGAACGCTTACGAACCAAGTGCCACTTGGGCGAGACGTCGTTTATATCAGCCGGCACGGTACCGAAGCCTCGGCAAACCTACCTCCCAACGACTCGCAAATACGTATTTAAACAATGTTAGGACTTATTCGAATTCCCGACTGCCGACGACGGACGTGAGCGCATCCTTCGCTAAGTGAACCGTTGACAATCTCAAATCTGCAAACTCACGCGACGTCTCGCGTATCCAACTTGCAATGTCGGGCGCTCACACATGGGAAGGGGAGCGATGAACGAGGCTTAACAGCTCCCGATGCTGACACTCGAGAACATCGGTCGGTGGCTCGGTCGCGGAGTCACCAGGGGGGTCGAGTTCGCGCTTGTGCTCCACGCATGCGCATCGCAATCAACGCCACGACCAATTAATTCTCTATCCAACATTTCGTTTACCCACGGGGATGCCGTAGGGTATCCTGGCGCGTTTTAGGCCTCCTCGGCACGTCATACGAAGTTCGAACCGAGCGGACCGATGGGCTTGGATCTGATCTTTGCTTTTTCTTTTTTTATCGAGCACGCTTTGGAGAATTTCTAGCTTTTTACCGGATCAAATTTGGCAATAAAATGAGGGAGAGCACCACGCGATGTGCATTAATTTTCTTTTATTATACAATTGAATGAGGATAATTCAGTAGGAGATTGAACGGACGCGTCGCGCGGTTCAAGGAAATTGAAATTTTACTTTCGGTATTAACAACATTCTTGTGCATAAAATGTAAATAAAGAATCTTGGCATCCTTTGCCGAATGTTTTTATAAAATATCAAGTCTCGGCGATAGTTTCATAATTTATTATCATTTTAAAAATTATTAAAAATAATTGCTAATCCCTGCTTATCTCCAAACCCTATTTATCAGCATAATAGGTCAATACTCGTTATTTATTAAATTATTTATGAATTGTTTCGTCGAGGGATGTTGATGAATTATCAAATTCTAAAATATTTATGAAACTGCATTTGTATGCTCAATTATTGCTCATGTATAAATCGAGGCGAAACCGTTTGTTCTTAAAACATTTGAAATTGCGCGCACTAACACAAACGCACCCGCCGTAAGCGCATCAATAGTTAAATTAATGTACAAAAAGTATTTTATTACTTCTACTAAAAGATCCCAATAATAAAAAAAAAACACGCATTTAACTATAAATATAGAACACAATTTTATGTATTCCTTGTTTTAAAATGACGAATTTTTATTACAATTTTATGGTTAAAATAAAATATATTGATTAAGTAATTTACAAAATTATTTAATTATTTTAACATGTATAAATCGATTTAAATTAAAGATAATTGTAGCCATTAGATATTATAGGTATAAAATAATGATTCATTCCTAAATATACACAAAATTGATTATCATCTAATTGGAACATAATAATAAAATAATTTTCTTTAAAATTGAAAACCACCTTGAGGCGTTGCAATTGAAGCTTGAAATTCTAATTGACCTTCTTCGTTTGTAGATGGTAGTACGTTTGGATCAGATTCCTAAATAACAATAATTAAATGTAAATAGAAGTTTAGGAGAAATGAGAAGATAATTTTAGTAGAGGGACTAAGCAGACATCTATTGAGATATTTTATAAATATTGGAATATAAATTCAACTACGCGTTAGGATAAAGTATAAAATTAAGTTTTATTAATCATTAAAAGTTAATAACACTAAAGTTGAATGTAAAGTAAATCAATTAAATAATTTTAATAAACTAAATTAAACTATTTACTGTCCAAATATTTTTTTATGAGTTATAAATTATATATATGTATAAGCATGATTATTAACTTTGTCGGTAAAAAATAGAAAAAGATAGATCTGAGTTAGTAACGAACAAAGTGAACAATTATAAATTGATCCATCAAATGAAAAATTTTTTATGTACAAAGTCTAGTGTCATGGAATGAATTTAAAAAAAAAAAAAAAAAAAAAAAAAAAAGGCTACTTAAATTTAAATAAAAAGAAATGTTTACCTTAATAAAATTTTAATGGATTGACAATTTTTTGTATCTCTAATGCTTTTACGTCGTTAAAAATCACGGACAAATAATTGAAAGAAAATTAAGATGTCTTACCCCTTCGCAGAAGAATTTATCAATAATGGCAAGAGTTTTTTCATAAATTTCTTCATTCTTATGCGTTTGCAAAGCTTCAAGTTTATCTAAACCTCCAACTTCTTCGATCATCAAAGCCACTTTATCAACTTCTTCCATTTTTTCTGCAACATTTAGAATGTGTACAAGACCGTCGAGAACGACATTGACGCATTTCCAATCTTTTGATTCGAGAAGATTACAGAATGGTGCCAAAAGTCCTGATTTGACTAAATAAACAAGCTGAGGCACAGTCCCACCAGATGTTAAATTAGTAATTGCCCATGCAGCTTCCTTTTGTGACTTGAAATCTCCCTAGAAAACGTATATTAAATAATGTAAATGTCAAAAAAATTTATAATCCTTTAAAATGAGAAACTGCCTTTTTTCTATAACAATTATTAATTGTTACAATTTCATGGAACTTACCGTGCTCAATATTTGTATCAGAGGTGGTATTAGGCCAGCGTCGATAACGGCTTGGATTTGTTCATGATTGCCAGCAGTAATATTACTGATCATCCAAGCGGCTTCTTTTACAATATTAAACTTTTTGTGCAACAATAATGCAGAAAGATAATTTAAACCACCTGCGGCAATTATCGAATCTGTTTGTGCATCGTTTCCGGTTACGATATTTCCTACGACTCGAACAGCAGGTGTAAGAACTGTGACTTCCGAAGAACCAAGTAATTCCACTAATTTAGGCACGATACCCGACTCCAATACTGTTTGAATTTTGTCATTTGGGCCATCGGTAAGATACGAAAGAGCCCAACAAGCATCAGCTGTAAAAAATCAATTGCTGTTTATTTTCTAAATTTCTCTAGAATAAGCAATAATACCGACTACTTTCTTATCTATTTCTTTATTAAATAATTCAGGATGTGCTTCCTATTAATTAAAATTCTTAAAAATCTGGTAGAGATATATCGATATTCTTTCAACACTTTTATTCGCTTATATTGAAGTATATAAAATTAAATTTATCTACATTTGAATAATCATGCTTCAATGTGAAATATGTTAACGTGCCTTTTAATAAAGCAATTGACAATTATTTAATTATATTAAATTTATATATATATATATATATATATATATATATGTATATAAATTAATAACTATAAATACAAAATAATTGTTGTAATTACCAAGAATATCTTTGTCCGTGTAGCTTAAAAGACGATTTAATAGAGGAAGTGCCTGTTTTACGATATCAAAAGGTGGAGCTGGATTCTTGTTTCTACATAGATTTGATAAAGTCCAAACGATATTGCGTACAAAAGAAATGGGAGTCTCGGGATTTAATAACAAAATTATATGTGGCAAAGCATCTTCTTTAAGAACCATATCTCTTGGTAAAGGTCCATCGCCAGCAATATTACCCAAAGCCCAAACGGCTTGCTCAGCCACATTCATTTTCGGAGACTTTAAAAGCTCTACTAATTTAACTATAGCACCATGTTTAATAACTACTAGCGTCTGCTCGGATGTTCCTGAAGCAACGTTTGTGAGAGCCCAACACGCTTCAAATTGTAGCATCGATCTATAAATACAATTAAGAACATTTATTTTATTATAATTAATTTTGAAATTATAGTTCCCCGTATTATCTTATATTATTATTTAGCTGTATTTTAGCTAATATGGCTAAGATATAAAAGGTTCGTGTCTTATTTAGATTTAAGCTTAGCGCTTCGTTAAGATGTCTTTTATAATATAAATTTTTTAGAAAGAAAAAATTTTAGATTTGAGAATTTAGCTGCTAAATGAGAAATACCTATGATGATAGCCCAAAAATTTTATACAAAGTGGAATAATTCCTTTCTCGATCATATCATTAATGGGAGGATTTTTTTCTTGACTAAGCATTTTTCTGCAAGCTTGAGTGGCCTCTAATTGAACAAGTTCATCGGTAGATTGCATTCCTATAATAATTTCATCGATGCTCATAGTCTGAATTTGAGATTTTTCTTTCGTCGGACTATCCAGCTCATCATCAAAATTAATATTCCGTCGTTTCTCAAATAGCTGTCTATCCTTATTAGCTTTACGCATCTCGATTGTTACTTCGGTCCTTTTTCTTCGAGCCTCCTAAAGAGGATGAAAATAGCAATCCAATTAAAGGTAAATTATAAATACAGTGATAAAAAGCAGAGCTGAATGCTGTAACCTTACATCGGATTTCCCTTGGAACTTAAACTTGGAAATTCGAGAGTTGATATTTGTATCCGGTGCTGGCATGTTTACTAGAAAACATATACAGAAAACATACAATTACATATATAATTGATAATAACAGAGTAACAGTATAACAGAGTACGATTGCCGGTATGAAACAGGCGATGGGTATACACAAAAATAATTAAATGATTTTGTCATTAAAATTATATTGTGTAGTTGTTCTACATTTGTATCGTAAGTAACATAACTTACATATACCAATGTGTACACCCGGAATGGGTGCTAAATTTTATTTATTCACTAACAAATCGTTAAATTTAACTTTAATAAATGTGATATTAAATCGATGATTTGCAAATTGCCAAGCAAAACTTATAAAATGTAATTTAATAAATTTCAGTCCTGTAATTTATTTGATTGGTCGAGGTTCCCGATAAAGGTAGCGTCTATTCCGACTATCGTGACACACTTTAATAATAAAAACTTATACATTCGCCTAACGTGCGTTTAAAGGCAATTTCATCACATACGCATTAAAAAAAAAAAAAAAAAAAAAATAAATAAATAAATAACAAAACAACAACAAAAACAAAAACAAAACACTCTAAGAATATAAATTACACGTCGTATCGTGAATAATTCAATGGAGATATTTGAAATCGGAAAACCGTTAAAGTGCTGCAAAGGTCACACCCCCAGGCAATCTCATGCACTCGTTAAAGTAAACATCCTAGGACCTTCGTAACAATAAAAACAAAAAATGAATGCCTCGAGATACGTACGTCGAATCAAAAATTAATCCTCTCTTTATAATTAATTCAATCAATCGGCCCCTACCAATCGTCTACCTACCCGTCCCAAATTAATCTCCTTCCTGTCGAAAACAATTTCACATTGAATCCCACCCCAGCATGCCAATTCAAACGGCAAAGCTTACGATCGCGCGTTTTCCATGACGCGAACGTTCGCGATGAGAAAATTTAACCGCGTAACCGTCACAGCAACTTAAAATCCTTCCTCTACTTCTTAAAACTTACCCTTCTCACCTTGCCGAAATTCTCAATTAACATTAAATCTATTACTTACCGGCCGATAAAGAGCGTCAATCCTATCCTCAACAGTAAATAAATAAATTTAATAATCTAGCCACTGAGCTTACAAGTACGCTAAGAACAAGAAGAATAAGAAGAAGAAGAAGAAGAAGAAGAAGAAGAAGAGATGATGATGACGATGAGCTAATATGCGACCGCACCGCGACCAGCGCGATAACCAAATGTAGTTATTCTAATAATGGCGGCAGCGAGCCGTTGTTGCCCTAAACTATTTGCCGATACAAGTGTACGACGGCTCACGGAACATAAAAAAGGGCCTTAAACGGCTAATGGAGGGAGAGCGAGGCGGCCAATGCCGAGCGCCTCACGGTTTTACGGGGCCGGACTCATTAGTCCTTCGGAGATATCAGTGGTCACGTGACCGCTTGAAATTTCCAACGTACTCTGCATTCAGGGACATTCGAATTTTGCACACTTCCTCGTGTTAATTTGAAATCGCGCGTGTGGTTGAGGGCGCGCGCGCGCGCGCGCAAAAACGCAGACGCACGTGCGCGGGCATGGGAAAAGCAAGAGTTTTCAAATATTTGAAGCGGGGAGTGCGGATAAGTAGACGAGTGCTTTTGAGACTTTGGGGAGAGAGAAAGTAATTACCGCGAGAGCGATCTTATCTCGCACTCTACACAGGCAACGACGAACCATCAATATCTGCTGTTGTACAAATACTTATTAGCGTACGTTTCAAGTCTTTATTGTCCATTTTATATTACATTGCAAATAAAGAATTACAGTTTAGGTCGTTACATTTGCGTTACAACTGTCGACGCTCAACATATCGGCATTACCATTAATATTTAATTATGTTAAATAAAAAATAAGCCGCGCTGAGATTAAGTTCGGTTTTATATTGCCAAGCTTATCTAGACTAATTTTTTACTCTCATCTTACACAGCTTGAACGCAACTATTATTAATCAGTTAATAAAGTAGTAATATTGTTTTAATAAAATATATTCAATTTATTTTCTCACTTTACTCTGCTACTTGATTTTTTTTTCATACTATAGAAAAATCTATTTAAATCCATCTTGCCTGAATTTGTTATTACTTAAGCAAATTACGTGAAATTTTTACCATTTTGACACATTTAAATTTTCTATATTCTAAGAATTTACCTGCTTAGTATCAAATCATGTCCCGCAGACTCGTAGCGATGCTTATTTAATTAAAAGCCAAACGTTCAACGATACACTAATATCTAACGGTAATAGTATTTGCATTATATTCTCATTTTGTAATTAGGACAAATTGATATATCCGTAAAACCTCCGCTGTCTTTGGAAATGATAAAATTTGATTAGGTTTCTTTGTGCCTCCCATAGCACGACAAGGCAAACGAATACAGTTTTATAAAATAATATTTATACTGCATGGAGAGTTTATGATAAATCGTACATTTGTATTGGTATAAGTTTATAAAATATATGCTTAAAAAATAATTTTTTTGTATTGTTATCGGTTCTCTCTTGAGTACATATATTTATTACAATATCTAAGACTTAAATGTAAGTATTATACAATTTTCCCTTTCTGTTTACTACAAATACTAATTCTTCAATTTGTAATTATTAGACAATGATGCTGCTGCAATCGCTATTAATACATCTAATAAATGGAAACATATAATTTAATATTATATTGAAAATAGTGTAGTAATAATAGTGTATTAAAAATTATTTAATTCTCCAGTCAGTTTCGTCAGTTAATAAAAAATGTATCTTTTTTCTATAAATAAAATTAAGTATCAAGTAAGATTACTAAAATGTCTATAATTTCTATGCCAATTGTTCCAAAAATCTTATTTTCCTATTTAAGGTCATTATTCAATAATATTCATTTAAATATAAATTATAAAATTTGAAAATTTTATTTACCTAAGGATTGAGATCCAGAAGTTTTTAAATTTATTAACTACAACTTTGAAATAGTTATTTTGATAATTGAATAATTTGTGTAAACAAATTTTTGTTTTTTTTTTTTACTTTACAAACGAAAAAAGTATAGTTTATAATATGATCTTGGTAATGTATAATATATATTCATATATATATATATATATACATGTATGTGCGTGTGTGTATTGGAATTTTGAAATAATGGCATTGAAGAGTAAGTAGAATAAATCAATAAAATTGGTATTGTTCGTTGTATAAATTCTAATTTGAAATATACAATGTAGCAATATTATAATACAGTCGATGATAATTTCTAGCTATTAAATATATAAAAATATATAATATTAGAAACTTGTAATTATAAAATTGTATAAAATTACAATGCATAAATTTGAATGCCTAATTTGCATCGCTACAATGATTATGGAGATTTAATAGACGCCTATAAGAATGTAACTCTAAAACTATTGAAGAATATAAGCACGCGCATGCTTGCTGATTGTATTAGTACAATATTTGTTTAGATATTTTATAGACACAATATTGATATCGTTGTTTTGATATGCATAAGCATGTAGGAAATTTAAAAGATTAAAGCACAGATGATGAAACTGTTAAAGGAACACATTTTAATTTAATAAAGTTCTTCGACAGCCACTGAAATGTTAAAAGAGAAGAAATTTATATCCAATATAACAGACCTCTATTAAACACAAACGCTAATATAAAATATTTATTATGCTTATTGCAGCGATACCATAATTTTATAAAGAACCACAAAAGCATTATTGAATTACTCATTATTTATATATGAAATATAGATAAAAATATTCATCCATAATTTGTAAGGATTATCATATTTATGAAATTATTTTAAATCGCCTGAAAATAAAGTTTATTTGAATTGTCATTGAATACTATAAATTAAATGGATGTTTAATGAAGAAACGATCAGTCGGTAATGTCAGTCAATCCATAAGAGAACAAACATGGAATAAAAGTACATAAAAAATATGGTAAACAAAGTGACCGTCTACCAACTAATAATAAATCGTGTATAAAATTAACTTGGATACAAAAATATGTAAGATTTAGATAAGAAGTTTGTTGACGAAAAAGAGAACCATCACTGCTTTATAAAGTAGTAGATAAAATTTTAATTAACAATTTGGTAACGGTATCATTATTTCATAATTATATCGGCTATATCTAATTACACATGTAGATGGAAAATAAAAATGAAAATATAGAGACAATTTATGAATTATGTAAAGCTATACGACGGCTAAAAATTTTTATTTCACAAATGCAAGTTGCACGAACCTACGAATATAGTTATCGATATGATATTATCTATTACGAAAAGCATTATTTCGACAATATTTCTTATTTTTGGTAGGGCTGTTTCTTACCAAATGTTATCACAAATCATTTAAACATAGCGACAAAGTTCGTCAAATATCGCACAATTAAATACGTGCATTATTATATTAATGAAAAATGCTTCAAGATCACATAAGCTTACAAACTGTATAATATATCGTCGAAAATTTTGGGTAGTTTACGAATTTATCTAGTCCACGAATAATTGAAAATTATTTACAAAAAAAAAAAAAAAAAAAAAAAAAAAAAAAAAAAAAATACCCTTTAAAATATTTATAATATACCGATGTATTAATTTTATTTTTAATAATGGTTCGCTGTTATAGCGTTATATAAGCGATATTCGGGCCATCACAAACGTTTTATAAATATTTTTGTGCGCCACGTAATAGTATATTTATAGATATGTAATTCCTGTAGTACAATTAAATGTACCTTCTTATTATCCTATATCGAATATAAATTACAGTATTCGGCGACAATAGAAATATCCTATTCGGAAGGCTAATTTTTTAAAGGTAGAACTATTCAATCAATATTAATTAAAACATCAAGTATCCAATATGCTAGGATCGTATTCGAATAGTTAAAGATGAAGAATTCTTACTAATGCCGACATAACATTTGACAAGTCTACAATAATTCAAATACAAGTACAACAAGCTCCTAGTGCTCGAACGAATAAGTAAATCATGATTACATTTTTTTATTCGCTATCGATTTTTACGTCGAATAACCAACCACAACCACACCACACCGATATAGGCATTCGATAGTAATAAATCATTTAATTGGGCCTTTTCTGCAAATATGCAAATAAGAGTATCATATAAGAGATAAGAATGCCATAATCAACGATTGTACTTCCATATACTTCCAATTCCAAGAACCTTAAATCCCAAAAGTTTTTCTAGTCGCTAATTACAGCTCAGTGTGAGAATATTTATAATTACATTTGCCTTTATACGAAATTTAATTGTCAATAAAATGATTCGTAAGAAACAAGCTGTAAAATATGAATGATAAATACTAGGTATTTATTAACACTGCTATAAATTTCGATTTTATAATAAACAAAAAGCATGAATTATATGCGATTACAAAAGGAGTGCGTAATAATAGTAAATTATACATTAAATCAGAATAAGAATGCTTATTAAAATAAGCGAATTTCAATACAAATTTTAAATCAACTGATAAAGTGTATATCCTTTAATATTGCGGAACTCACAGGAAGCTTATTTTTAAGGATTTTTTCCTTCAAAGACAATAGATTTTATTATTTCGGATGGCTAACGTACAACTTTTAAGCTAAACGATATGATTTATCGAATTGTAACATTTGATATTGCAGATAATATTAGATTGGTTGTAATTAAATTGGCCGAGTACTTGGTATTGGTGAAAGTTTAGAAGAAAATATAGCGTTGTCTGCAATCATTTAGTTGAGTATGCCGAGGGCGGTTCTGTCGTCCATGATAAACAAAACAAACAAAAATTACGATACAAAAATAATACGCGAATCGTAGATTTTATAAATGTAATAACTACTGTTTATCAAATCAAATCCAAGAGGTAACTCGCAACTTTAGTATGTTCGACTTAGCCTCGGGATTATATTAGATGCTAATGGTAAAGGACTCGGACTCATAATTATCAATTTAAAAGATGATCCAACCATCCCCAAAAGCTCTTGATATTTTTTAATATAAATCAATTACCTCTTACAAAGATTAATAAGTGAGATATATTTTATGTATTTATATTACGTAGCATTTGAATGATAATCATTAGAATAGTATTTTGAAATATCACTTTAACAACTTTGAGAACTCACCATCAAACTACAACCGAGGAATTGTAAATATTTACATCAAAAAATTCGAATGTAATAAAGAATCGAGTACCCTATGAGAATTTAATAGAATGACATGTTATTTGTCCAGTTTCTTCCCATCAAAAATATTCCATTATTATTACGATGCAGCAATTTGAGGAATAAATAATTATAAATATAACGGCCTTTAATCGACACGAAATATTTAAGTTATAAATTTAGAAGCTATAAAAATATACCCTCCCCCATGTAATTGATATTATTTACCTACCTTTTAAAATATCTTTTAGTATAAAAAGATAATATTTTACAATAATTCGTAATATATATTTTCAAAAATAAGTCATTCAATTTTTAATTTAAAGACTATGCATATATATATATATATATATATATATGATTGTTAGCGGTAGCTACAATTATTTAGGCACTATTGGACATTTTTGTTACGATTGTCACTACTATTGATAAAAACACTATTAATATATTGAGGCACTTTTGGAACTGCGATGTAGACTTTACTTTTAAAAAGTTATAAACACTATCTTTTTTCCCCTTCCTATCTTGCTTTTAAATAGTTCGATATAATTATACATTACGTAATTAATCATTTTTGTTATAAATAATTATGAAAATTGTCTAATTAAGCAATACATGCTTCAACTGTCTTTTTAACAGCATCTCTAGCATATGGTATGTATGATAACGAGTACCATAGCATGGCCAATGATTGTATAATAATAAATAGCAATGCAAGTCCGGCATTGTGAAGCTGAAACAAAAATTTTTTATATTTATTTGATCGATATAAATTACAAATATATTGTAATATATGATTAGGCATAGAAATTTACTCCTAAGGCAGCATACAGAGTCAATGCAAAGGCGACAAAAATCATTATAGTTGCAACGATTCTTGTTGGTGCAAACATTTTTTTCATCTGATTTACAGGACCCATTAAGAAGCAAGTACTATAAAATTAAAAGTTATTTAATCTTATGAATCGAGATACCAAGTTATAAATCAATTATTTACCTCGCTAATGAAATTACGTTTCCTAGCGTATAAAAAACGCCGTATATTGTTAATCCACCGCGTAAAAATAAAGCAAACGAACCCAGTACGGACAACAAAATACCAATAATAAAACATACTATAAAGCCTTTGATTCTTGTTGTTTTACTTAACTTCATCGCATCTGTAACCTTATAAATGGGATATCATTATTAATAATTGCTTTCATTTATAAATATGTACAAGTATTTTTTATACCAAAAAACCTTACCAAAAAATCCCATCTCAGAATTGGACGTAAAATTATAATTTACATGTATTAGAATTATAAGATTTATTATTATACTTATTATATCATTATTAATTTCAACTAAATAATAATTATATATTTGTTAAAATATTAAAAATATAATGATAAATACAGCACAAGTAGGTATTAAAGTAGGAATTAAATAAAAGTATTTAAAATAAAGTGAAAAAAATTCTATCAAAATCAACGTTATCTACACATATATCGTTATGTTATTTTTCTTTGAATTCTGCTTTATTTTCTTTTGCGCTTATCGTAAGATATACTTGTCAACTACTGTATCACTTTCTAAAAGTGAAAATCTAATTATGAAATAAGTAAATAAAATAATAAACATGAAAATATAAATAATATTCTTATTAATAAATATAAAGAATTACCTCTGTAATAATTCCATTCTGTTCTTCAACGTTATCCTCCTCTCCATTAAAAAAACTCTTTAATTTATCCATTTTATAGAATAATATTTAAATTCAATAGAAAGTAGTTGCGCACTTTATAATCTAACATGAAGCAGGTTTGAATTAAGTATTTCAACCTGCGAATATAAAAATACACTTCTCAAATTATAATCTATTAATTTTAATAAATAACATACGTAAATCACAATTTCTTCAATGATAGGAAACTCTTAAAACTTACAATATACACTATAAAATAAAGAATTCCATCTTGATTTGCTTAGGCTTAATCAACAAGTTGGAAGTGTAGATATATATATACATATATATATATATATTCCGAGTAAACAAACATTTGTTTTCAATATAAATGCCTACGTCGATATCTTTATTGTACTGTTGTGCACCTGAGTTGTGTCGTTTTTCCCTCCCGCCCCCCTCAATATTAATTTAAAGGATATATGAAAAATTAAATACAATTAAAATGTTGAAATAAAAGACAAACGCAGATACATGTTACAAACAGTTACTAATTGGTTATGTTACCTGTGATATATCAAGTTCGAGATGAAAATAATATTTCGTCAGCATTGCAAGTGTAAATTTAATTCAAATGTATCCATGCAGTTATTGGCCTATGGCTGTAGGCTTGATACCACAAAGCCCGGGATAATTACAAATAATTAATATATTTTAATTAAAATATTCAAAAAAAAAAAAAAAAAAAAAAAAAAAAAAAAAAAAAATAAATAAATAAACAAATTATGTATTTTTATATTACTTTGACACTGGTATAAACAACTATGATTAAAATGTTTTCATCAAGATATATATATATATATATATATATAATATTGCGTATACGTTTAGATAAATTTATTATTTAATTAATTCATTAAATTCTTTTTAATTTTCATATAAATTTCTTAAATTTAAATTTTACACAATTGCTTCTCTAATAATTAAATAAAATTCATTGTAGTTCTTTAAATGGCTATTCGCCAATTATTATTATTATTATTATTATTATTATTATTATTATTATTATTATTATTATTATTGACTTAGGAAGATGGTTTTTGCTACATTTTAATACATTTATTTTGATGTGGTTATGTATGGAAATTAAATGGTGAAATTGAGTTAAGAAATAAATAGTAAGAAAAGTGTTTGAAAAGCCAATCAAGTATATGTATTTATTTTATTGACTAAAATAGAATATTTTATTCAATTAGACAATGAATAATGTTACAAAACATTTATATGTAAACGATTAAATATGCCTATACACTAATTTTTTTGTAAGTAATAAATTTGTTCAATAATTGAATTCTTATTTTCCAATTTTTAAATTGAATTCTTATATCAGCAGGTGAGCTGTAATATCTTAAAATGTTACATAACATTTCAAGTATTTATTCACAATGGCTAAATATTTTATTCTATTATGATTTAAATATGCCGTTAATTTTACCATTAAAAGCAAAAGAAAGCAATTATTTCCTAGAAAACAAAAGTCAGATTGTCAATGAAAATATTACACTTCTTTACATGATATTAATGTGGACTATATTATATTGTATTTGTAAAAAGGGCTCAAATGTATGCATATTAGATATTTTCATAATTAAAATAAGAAATAATGTAAGTTTTTATTTAGGTATATTTTCGCAAAATAGGTTATGCGTTCGTACATAGAAATCGAATTTCCAATGTTTTATGGAGCTGCAGCTTTACTAGTATCATTATTTTATATACCCTATTTTTATGGAATTTATTGTTAAAGCCAGAATTAAGTGTTATTATCTTGAAAAGTTTTTACTTGCACTATGGCATTGTTGTTTTTATAAATTATAATCAACTTAGAGGGCTTTCAAATTTTCTATCTATCTTATTTATATTTGGGAGCTTTCGACAAATGTAATTCATGAAAAACATATACATTTTTATATACGTACATATATATTTATAAATTTCATTTTCAGTTTAGAGCCACCTATTACTAATGTTTTTATACTTAAGGCTTTTGATACACTATTATTAGATTGTTGCCGAATATTATATCTAAAATGGCCAATAAAAGTGAAAGAATGTCATGCCAAATGGATGTACATAATATATTCATTAGTTTGGTAATTAAAGGACATAAGTAAAAAAATTTTGAGCATAAATTATATTACAATAACAATGACAATCTTTGGAGTTTTGTATATATTTTTTCTTTTTATTACAGGATTTATGTATATACGATAGTTATTCCACAAAATTTATTATTGTCGTATAAGTATCAGTCTTTGTATGAAAAATTACTTATATGGCTTTGGCTTACAATACAATTTTTAGAATTTGTATCTATTAACAATTATATTATTAATATAAAATCATTTTCGAGTGATATGTAAAATTATAAGGGAATTTGTTTTAATTTATAGGTATGGTCGAATTTCATAAATTTGTTTACAAATTCACAACTACTAGAATTTTATTTATTTTCTAAACCTTCAAGAGAGTCTATTTATTTAACAAAAATGTTACATAATCATAAGAAAATTATAAGTAGGTAAGGTTTTCAAAACTATTACCTACCAAACTAGTTTTAATTTTAAAATAAATTATACAAATTTTAATATATTTTTAATGCATTTTATATGCATCCATAAGTTTTACAATATTTATCTCAATTCATTGAAAATTTAATATCAATCTATTTATTTGAATGTTTAATGTTATTATAAAGCTACTAAATTATATATTGTTAGTGTGTGAAAAGGTGTTGAATATTGTTCAAAATTTGAACTCTCGTTAAGAAGTCTACTTAAGTTTGGAATTTTTCATACCGTAACTGTTGTAAGTTACGCACAATAAGATATTAATAATTTTTTAATTTATTAATTCTTTTATTAAATAATATCATGTTTCGCAATTATAATTACATAATGGATCATTATAATTTAAAAATGAAACAAAAACAATTTTCTATATTTAAAAATTATATAAATTTCGTATCCTATGATTTAAGAATAATCATATTGAAATGAAGTTGAAATCGTAAAATTTAATTTTATTTAATATATTAAAGTTATTCGCGTGATTTTATACGATCGCATGTAGTTGGTATGTTTTTATAATAAATTTATTTTATATAGTAAATCTGAAGAGGCTGTGGGAGCTAAAAAATTTTGGCAAATACTCAAATGTAAGGAACAATATATATTAAATTCTTTCATTTCAATAAAAATAAATCTAATAAATAATCTAATTATAAGATAAGTAATTTATTTTATATTTAATAAGATTAGGTGGAGTGTTATTGAAGAAAAAAGTTAGAAGACTGAGAGCGTTCAAACAAGTAGAAGAAAATAAAGTAAAAGTGGATTATCCCAAGGAATCTGCCGAAGATAATATAACTGACTGAATAAAATGAAAGAAACAATACAATATTATATCTTTATAACGATAATTGATATTATGTAAAAACGTAAATATTATAGACATATTATTATAATTAATAAATTACAGCTTTCTAATTTTTATTATAATCAATAATTTTAAATTATATTACGTTATTTTATTTATTATATTTATTATATTTGATCAAAGAATTCAAAAGATGCAGGTACAAATTGAAAATTATAACTCATTTAAAACTCTGTCTAAAATAAAAGTTAATATTTATTTGTAAATTACAATTATATGTGAAATAATTAATTATAACCAAATATATACAATAATTCATATTCAATACTTTATTATTTACTATAAATTAAATAAATACATTTTTCAATTGGTATTAAATCATCCTACATGTATTCATTAAATTCTATATAATCTATAAAATCATCTATATTGATGATTTTTTTATTTATTAGATAGGCAATGCAATAAATATCTATTGGATTTTTATCACTGCAGTATTGATCAAAAGGCAAATTATATTTCTAGATTTGATTTTGCCGAATATTTAAATTCTACGTTCTTTACATTAACACGTACTCTATATTGTTACGATTAACGTTTTATTTTTATTTTTAAATCCATCGATTATAATTACGCATAAAATACTTTAAATTCACATTTTTTTAAAATATATTTTATATATATAGATAATAAAACTTTTTAAATGTTTTTAAAAATATAATAAATATAGTGTCGTTTATATTGAGGAACATTTTCAAATATGTTCAATAGAAGAATTAAGATTTAATATTTTGTATAATTTAAGAAGAATCTTAATGAAGAATTGTAGTATATTTCAAGACATACGCATTCACATTTCAATTTCAAAGCTTTTAATTAAAAATATGAAATAAAATACGCTTGTCATAAATATTACTTTATTATGCAAAAATTATGCATGACAAATTGTTTCACTCCATATATTTTCATTAATTGTTGTTTACATTAACGATGCTTAATTATAGTTAACTATAATTAATAGTGGAATATTAATAGAATAATTATTCTTAAGAAATATTGAATATACATCTTTTATTATGTCTTTTATTTGTTGTATAATGAGTACTACAAAAAGTTATAGTAAGTATTTCCACAGTCAGAAAGCAATATTTTATTGCCATTTTTTTTCTTCATCTTCTTATCTATACAGGCCTAGATTCAGTAAATGAATTATTATATTATTAAGTGACAAATACCATATATTTCAATGCAACCTTTGCTACCTCTAATGCGACAGTATGAAATATGTGGTCAAATAATTATTAAAAATGCCAAAATATTCCAATCGTAATTACATTTAATTCAATCGCATTATCCGAATATTTGTGTATGATATCAATTGATAGCAATTAAAGCTCTGAAATCTAAAGAATATTTAAATATAAATTTTAATATACAAATTATAATATAAATATTTTACATTTTGATTATTGGCAATATGAAGGCTTACATCATTGTCTTGGCTCCTCTCGTTTTGTTCGGTTTACTACGCGAACATTACTAATGCAATACGATCGGTGGATAGTAGAATAAAACGAATTCTTAGAGATATTGACTCCCCGGAAGATGGGTATGCACATATTGACGAACGAATAGTTGATTAAAATAAAACGATGACTTTTCAATCTTTACGATGATTCAAATTAAGAAAATCGAAAATCGGCATTCAAACAACGATCGAAATGAACTATTTAAACAATCTTTAAATAAAAGATCTAATTTTTAATTAAAATTATAATACGTTAAGCATAAGGTGCAATTAAATAAATTAAAATAACGCAATAATTTATAAGTTTAACTATATATTTTATAAATTATATTTTATGACTTATTTTTTCTATACTCGGTTATTTATTATTGATTAATTAATAGTATTGATAGATTATAAGTAAAGAGTTTGAAATTCTTTCAATGTAGTTTGGACCTTTTGAATTGTAAATAAATTCACTTACGTTACTCATGAATAATTTGCTCGAATTTTTTAATGTATTCAATCATACACACGTGTTCGTTTTTAGAAGTCATATTGTAAATTCACTTTTTTTCATTTAAAATTCCTTCGCTATTAATGGATTAAATTAATAATTATTTTCTCAGATTTCTTAGATTTCGAATAGTTCAACGAAGCTGCTATTAAAACCGTAAATAGTAAAATAATTATCTTTTAATTATTATCTTATATTGAACTGTTTTATGAAATTTTGCGCTCTAGTAATGAAATTATTATTATATAATATCAAAACAACTCTCTCTCTCTCTCTCTCTCTCTCTCTCTCTCTCTCTCTCTCTCTCTTAATTTTTGGAAAAAATACTTTCACAATTACTTTGGCGGGCAGCATTATATATACATATACATATACTTATAATGAATAGGAAGAAGATGATGATACTATATTACTGCACAATGCAATATGAGATTATTTAAATTAATTTATAATAACAACGTATTGAATTTTAATTAGTATGGATGAATTTCAAAATGGTATTATAATATATATATATATATATATTGCAAATGAAATTATAAATTTTTATAAGAATATGTATTGTAATATTTCTTTATTAATCTTTTAGTATAAATTTGTATGTTTACTTATATTTTCAGTGTATTCCTTCCTTACTATAGCATTATCAAAGACATTGAATGTTATATAAGCTACTTTTATAAAAAATTATAATATCTGTATTAACGAGCTTTAAAGATAAATTTGAATAAGAATCTGATGAATCGGCTTATCTTCAAAAAAAAAAAAAAAAAAAAAAACCATCATCGTCTCCTTTACGGTCCAACAGAATTAATACAGTATCATTTAACACAATGAGTAGTGAACATATAAATTAAGTGCGGTACATATTACATGATTCCAACGGTTTTTATACGCCTATCAAAGATGGCCATGCCTATGATGTGTAAAATCTATTAAGATAATGTGAGACTGTAAAAATAAATCGTTAAATTTACAAGTGTCAGATTATCAGATCGCAAAAATTGCACATAACGTTCTCTTAGACGTACAAGTCAGATAATTAAAAAAATTGCACCCATTATTATTAGATATACTAAAGCGTATAATAAGATTAAAGGACGTTAACGTGAGTGGTAAAATATACCAAAAGATTTTATTGTTAATATGCTGTTTAACTGGCCAAATAGATTAGAGAGAATTATAATGTATACAATCATATATTAGACAGATATGTAAACAAAGGTTTAGTAAAAAAAAAAAAAAAAATTTTTAAATTGTCTTTTGTGCCTGTATAATTACGTAAAATAGCTGGCAGAATAATTATTTGATTACAATTCCAATTATTATTTCATCGTTATTATGTATTTATTACAATGAATAATAATAGAAATAATAGTGAGAAAAACAACAACAACAATAATAAAATTGTTTTTATATATTTCAACTGTATAAAATAAATGTAAATCTTATTATTGAAGTAACGAATAAAGTTCATATTCTTTCTAATTTCACAAAGGCATGTTTTACATTCTCTACATATTAACTTATTTATTTTATAATTACAATAAATCCATTCCGAAAGATGATTGTAAATAACTTTATATTAAACATTTAATAAATTGTAATATATTAATATAACACAAAGATATAATTCAATATACTTATATTACATTGATCTATAAAAATTATATCGCATTTATAATTTTCATATTGGATTTGTTGCAATAATAACATTTTCTTCTCTATAAGCTATACTCTAAATTAAATATATCTAATACATCATATATACAACGGCTTTTATTAATTTATTTTTATTGGCTTAAGCTTGAATAAGTAAATATTTTGCCTCAAAAAAAAAAAATATATATATATATATATATATATTTTTTTTTTAATATGCTTCATAAACTTAAGTCTATTTTTGTTCTTATATTAGTACGCTTCTACAAAACATGCAAATATACATGGTTGTTTTCATAAGATAAAAGTTAAAAATAAATCATTCTCATATCTTTCTTTTATTCTAACCAATCAGAAGCGATCGGAAAAATTTATTTAATATATTTGAAAATTAATTACGAATTAATATATGAAAATTCAGTATATCAAACACTCGCATTTAGTTGAGCCTAAATAAAATAAATTTTCTCCCACAAAAAATAAATATATTTTAGACAGATATATCTTAGATAAATAATTCTTATTATTAAAGTGCTTATCGATAGTGATTCTATGTTTAATTATTAAAATTTAACGTTAATATGCCTAGTCATATTATTTAGACTATGTATCCTAAATTCTAAGCTTTTGCATCGAGAAACAAATCATTGTCATTTAATTTTCATTTTCTTTTAGGAGTCACGATTGGAAATAATGTAGTTATTCAAATCAAATGTATATAATCATAAGATAAAAATTTTATAATTATGCTTTTATTAGCGTTTAAGTTGAAGATGAAAGAACAATCATCAATATAAATCTTCACTCATATATAATTGAATATAATTACAATACATTTATACTCAACTATTTTTATAATAAATTATGTTTCTAATAAAATCAGAAACTTAAAGTACATCATCGAGAATTTTTTGAAAGGCTACTCGATTGCATAATTTTGATGAAATACTTTACATTTTGTCCGTATTAATGTAATTGTCACATTTTTCGACGGCATAAAATATAAATTGAATTAACTAAATTAATTTATGGCATACTAAATATGCTTTTTTAATTATCTTTATCGTTAGATAAATATAAAATGAATACAAGTTAAGGCTCATATAACTAATATTTTCAATTAAATAAATAATATTATAGAAATTAGATTATATAATAAATTTTCTGTTTAAAATGTAAATTTATCTGCTTTATCTTTTACTTGACAAAATTTAATTATCTTTTAAATCAGCAATGGTTTAATATAATTAATTATATCAGCTATTGATTTCGAGATATTATTTAACATTTTTC